CTTAATAATATATTAAAACTGATAACAGATTAATATGCTAAGGGTAAAAAGATAGATATAAGATATTCTAACCTTGAATTAGTAATAGTGATATTGGAAACATATTTTTGAATGAGAAAATTATTTTCTTTAAGCTAGTTAGAAGCAGAAACAAAAAAGTATAAAACCAATTAGAAGGTTCATTAGTATTTAAATATACACTAATCAAATCAGAATATAATTATAGAGTTCAGTAATTATAAGAGATATTAATTGCTTCTTTTAGATAATAATAATTAATGTAGTAGTTTGAATCTACTGTTTGGCCTAATAAACAATTCAAATATACAGAAGAGAAATATCTTCTGTATAATATAGAAACATTATTAATTTTAAGTAGAACAAATAACAATATTAGAAGATAAAGATGTGTTCTTGGAATTTTATAGCTAATACAAACAGCTATTTGCTCTTCATCTCTTTTATTAGTTTATGTATATAAAAATATGTTTGAAAAAGCATGCATTAACATATATAATTCATTCTTATTATAAGTAATCCATGTAACAACAGATTCTAATATGAGTATTGAGCAATAAGCACAAGAAATTTTTGAATAATCGAATAGTATTTTAGATTGAAATTCATCTAATAGGCATTTAAAACCAGGTAATAGAATCTACAGAAGAAAAAAAACAAAAGTATTAAGTAATAAAGTGTTTATATTATATTGAATAAAAATGTTATCTTGAAAAGCATATTAGATAAGTTTTGATTAATCTCTTTTTGATACAGGTATAGTTTAAAAGAAAAAAAAGTTAAATTATTAAAGATTTCAGAATAATTCATAGTAGAAGTAGATAGGTAAAAAATTCAAAGATCATCATTAGTTATTTTTTTGAATTATTAAAAAAAACTATTTAATTTTATTTTTTTTCTTAAGGATAAATTATTTATTTATAAAGAATCATACTCATTACTATATATCTTTAATTAAAAAAAAAACTAAACAAGTATTAAACAATTAGTTTAAGCAGATTAACAATATGGTTCAAGAATCTTCTTTGTTTTTAGTAATTAAAATACAAATCAAAATAAATTAAAAATTATAATTTTTTTTTGTTTTAAAAAAAAATTTTAATTTACAATGTGATATATAGTTCAAAGGATATTTTTAGGTTTATTTAATGAAAGTATTTAATTAATATAATAAATATAGTTAACTCATTCTATAATGAACCAGCAGTTCTAGAAAAAAAGTTGATATAAAAAATTAATTTTTTTAATAATTCAATATTTTTTATACTAAACTATTACAAAAATTTAAATTTTTTTATCACATATAGAAATCATTATATAGAGGTTTATTGTATTCAAAATTGATTATAAATATTATTTTATATATTAAAAAAAAAAGAATTATAATAAAACAAAAGAAATATCATGATAATAAATCTTCAAAATTTATAAAAATAAAAAAAGAAACAAGAAAAAAATAGTAATCTATTATTGATCAATCTGATCATTATTTAGTTGATTAATTAACTTGGTATTATTATTATTAAATTCTTGAACTATTTTTAACTTATAAAACAGCTTCTAAAAATATTTTATTTACTAGTTAAATAATATCTTTTGATGTTTCTGAAGAGGATATAGAAAATGAAGCAGAAAAAAAAGCAGAAGTGAAAGAGAATGATTGATCGATTCTAATATATTTTCTTGAATTTGGTTTTGTTTTTGTATACTTTTATTCTATACTATTTAGTTTATCATCAAGGTTATTTTGAAATCATATAGTTTTATTATCGGAAATATTGAATAATGCTTTTCTTATATAATTTCATTCTATTTCAGAAACTACAATTTGAGAAATCTTATTTGAGCCTATTTTTAATCTTTTTATAACTGAAAGTATAATTCTGTTTAGATTTTCTTTTAATGAGTTATATCTGTTATAGTTATTAAAATAAAATACAAATATATTCGTATCTATATTTCTACTATTAGTAACATTATTATAAAATTTTTTAAATATCATAAAACTTTTTTTGTCATCATTATTATCAAAATAAGAACTTGGCAATGTAGAGAAAAAAAAGATCAACAATGGTGCTAAATACATAAGATTTTTGTGAGTTAGTTTATTCTTATTTTTATTAGACATAGATATACTTTGAATTAAGATAAGCTTAAAGAAGAGAATCAAAAAAATATTAAAATCTTACAGATATAAAAATTAACTAAATATATACATACATATTCTATATTATTCTTGATGCATAATGCCCTACCATTAAGACAATTAAATTTTTTTCAAAATCGATAATTAATGAATCCAGACTCTTTATATAACCTTTATAAGTAATTTGCTTGAATTTATCGATCATATTATTTACTCTATACAACACATTGCCAGTTAGATAATTATCATTTCTGGTAACTGATTGGACAAAGCAATAAGACATAAAGACAGAGGACATAGTAACAGAATAAACTTTTTTTTTAAGTGAAAAATGTGTGACAGAAAAAAAAAACGAATACTTTATAACAAAAAAAACAAACAATATTTATAACAGTAAATATATATAATTTTTTTTCATTATTTATTTATTATCATTATTTATTATATTATCTTATTATTTATACACAATGAAAGCAAAATCATAAAGATTATCATCTTTGGTCTATCATGAATCACTGACATAAAAAGAACAAAATCTTAGTAAAGCAGCAGCATAAGAACTGATAACAGGTTTTTTTTCTTTTTTTACACTATCTATTATTAATTATCAAATTATTTTTTTTATTAATTAAAATAATAATAAACAACAAATTTATTTTTAATAACAAATTTATAATCACTAAAATAATAATCGCATGAAAAAAACTTAACCAGTCACTACTTCACACATGTATACACATAGCGCTTTTCCCAACAGAAAATTGTTTAATTATTTTCAAAGTCGAACATTTCATCAACACGAAACAGATACACAAACAAATATGATGCTGATTACATCAACGTGAATTAACATAGCGTAGATAATCTTAAAATAATCATCATTGTAGGATGAAGATTTTCATTCGATATTCTTTGATAGTCAAACCGAAGCCAGAGGATAAGCAAACACCTTCAATTAAAACAGAAATAATAAGACACAAAACCAACAACTATTCAGATCAGCACGAAAACAGATACTTACATATGAGCATTCACATACGGGATTAGTACACAACATAGAATACCGGGAACACATTTTTCATATACAAAAAAATACATAAATCGACATAATCGACAATCGACATAAATCGACATAATCTACAATCGACATAATCGACAATCGACATAATCTACAATCGACATAATCGACAATCGACATAATCGACAATCGACATAAATTGACATAAGGGAACAACCAAGCCCAATCGACTAAACCATAAAAAGAACAAATAAAGCAAATCAGGATGCACGAATTCATGATATAAATAAGACCATCATCCAAAGCGAAATAGAATGAAGCGGCGTAAGCATGGTCATGATCAATGATCAGTAAAACAATCGACAAGAAACACCTAAGCGCAATATAATCACGAAAGGATATGAACATGATCATGATCATGATCATAAAATGAAAATAATACAAAACGATAATGTTCCCGTGTAATGACGGATTCCCTAATAAAGTGTACCGACGTAGCATTCTAACGAATATCTTAACCAGAAACAACAAATAATTGCCTAAAACAGCAAAGCAGCATAACACGAAACCAACATCATCCCATAAATGCGTTAACGAACTGTTTGGTATAGAAAAAATAATCTATATAATGAACCCACTCTATACCGAACAAAACCCCCCAGAACATGCAGTTCGGTATATCTATAGTCGACTGTATATTATCAATAAAAGAGTGAGAAATATCTGGTCACTAAAATTATAGGGATTATTACAAAAAAGTAAAATTGTTAGTTAATTTTAAAATTTTTATCAGTATAAAATTTAAAATGTCCAATTATCGATAATATAATTATAAGATATAGGTTACTTAAACTATATTAAATATAAAGAGATCTCTCTGGAAACATTCTTTATGGATGCACGGATTATACAAGATATCTTTACAATAAGCACTTATAAAACTTCTTGTTTACTATGAATACACAATCATTTAAAATATTAAGAATTGTAAAATATCGGCCATAGTCAACTAATCATTAGTAGGGTGACACAGGTTCTATTATATAATCGTACAACATAAGCATTAGTTTTAGGAAAAGAATAAAGTTTTGGATTATGGTTAGATTATACGTAATTAATATGTTTTTCTAAATTAAGTTTGAATAAACAAATAAATAAACATAAACTGATCCTGTCAAAACCGATAACCTACTATAACCGATAAAAATTAATTCACCATGTCTGTTCCATAATAATAATTCAAACCAGATAACTATAAGATATCGGGTTTGTCAGGTAATATAAATATAATCGAACACCTCAATGATATATTTTTGACGATCAAAATCAACAAAGTTTAAAAAATTATAAAAAATAAGATTAGCTGTTATTCGATGAAATCAAAATTTCATCATAAAGTCTAGGATATTAATATATATTTCTTTTCGTATATCGACAAATAAAAATTGACGAAAAAATTATCTGAACCTACTTTGGGCATAGCAGCAAATTCACTTATAGCACCAGCACTTAGCATCCCAATCTCACCAAAAGAAAGCCTATATCGTATATCTAAAAATATACAAAGATCCGGTCAGAGCTGATTAAAAAAAAGAGTTGATCATTTTATTCATTTTGGTTATGCATTTTGCAATCCGTTGCAAAAAGGATTTGTATTTAGATGTAATGGTTTTTCTTTTGGCGACACTCAAGTCAATCATGGCTCTAATTTTAACTCGACAATGCTAGATTACATAGGCTATTACAGATAAGCTAAAAAATTTTCGTGTAAATAATTTTTTAAATGATATATATAAATATCATATTTAGGTTTATAATATGAAATGTACGGATGGATTGCCTATTTTAGCTGTTAGTAATTATAACTAGGCATTACACTAGTTAACGGACAAATGTGTAGGGATAAATGTGTAGGATGGCACGATGTCATTGAAGGAGATATCACGATGTTGTCCTTTAATAATATATCCACCCTAAAGTTAATGCACTTTTAATGAATAATGAAATGTATCTTTTTCTTTAAATTAAAAATCTAATCTATACTATTGTAAGTCTGTTGATCATTTAACATTATGATAGATCGAAATGGTTACTTTCATTTTTTTCATTTTTGGTCTATTCTTTATTAAGGGTAGATCATTTTTATATAGTAATATTTACATTTTCATCTAAATATGATATATGTTACTAACAAAACTTTTTTATTTTTTAATTAATAAAAAAAAATTTATAATATTATAAATAAAATTATTTATCTATTATAGTAAAATTTTGAAATATTGTATTATTTTAAAAAAATATATTTGTATATATAATAAAGGTTACTTAGGTAGGTTAAACTTTTACTTAATGATTAAAATTAGTTTATTTAATATAATTTTTTATAAAATTAAATATAAAAAAAATTTACCATTAGGTTTATATATAATTTTAAAATACTTGCCCTTACCCTTAAGGCCTATTTTTCTTTATTAAGGTCTATTTTTTCATACATATGTAACGCGCATGTGATGTTATATATTATCATGGACAAAGTCTGTTACATTAAACTAATATATGCTGTGATTTGATTGGTTAATTAAAATATGCGATAGAATGATTAAAATATGCATTATTGAGCTTTTAATATCGAGTGCACATATAAAAGCCAATAATAGAAGCAGGTTAAAAAAATATTTTAATACTTACATATATATTTGTACACATACTCCATTCTTATTAATAGGACAACCGTCTTTTGAAAATTTGCTTTTGTTTTTAATTCTTTAATAGATCTTTTTAATAAATTCTTTTTTAATAAACTATTATTTTCAACTGACTGCCTTACTTTATATCCGCGTGAGGATTCTTCGTTAAAGGAATAAAACCTACAATCACCCGTTATTGCGTTTTGGCCCTAAGTGAAATTCAAAATGATAAAATCATACTTGTTTTTGTTAGTAGTTTTGGCATTTTCCTTTTGTCTCATATCAAAAATCGAATCTTTTAACCGTAAGTTTACAACATTCCTTACTCTTTCAACATTTATCGTCCAGAGAATGTAAAAAAGAAAAAAAGATAGTAGCATTATCTAGTCAAGCAGCCAACTGTCTCTTTATATTCTAAACCATTCTCGGTTTTATACGTTCAGAATCATTCTCGTTCTTATACATCCAAAATCTTTTTTACATACTGAATTACTTACCCTTATTCGTTTTATTACATTTGATAGCATCTGGTGTTTCCCTTAGTACCAGACAAGGCTGGTGTACACAGAATCTGGCAGTTTGTCCGAATTATTGCAAAGATAATGGAACAAGCGGAGCAACAGTAAACACATGTGATCCTGACGCATGCACTTATCAATGTGTTTGTTCTGACGGTCGGTCGCCAGATCCAAAACGTAATTATTTATTTTCTTTTTTTAAAAAAAAAAATTTGTTACAAGTGACTCTTGATATAAGAAAGTTACCGGCTCCAGTCAAAATCTTTCTTATATTGAGAGTTTTTTTATATCGAATGCTTTTTATTATAAAATTTTCAATTGGGGCTTCTTATATCGAGAGTTACTCTTTTTAAATATTTTGATTAATTCTTAAATCTTTTATTTTCGAATCTTTTGTCAACAGTATATACCATGCCAATGGACTTCTTTAAATGCACTAGTGATCAGGAAAATTGTACCTATTCATGTAACGCTGGCGACCAAAAATGTGTTGATACTTGTACAGGAAATTGTTCTGCTACCCTGAAAAAAACATATACATATGTTTTGCCCTCATCTACTCCTGGTCCTGTACCTACGCCAGCATCTACATCAGGTTATCATTCTTCCCCTTCCAGTCTATTAACTCCCAATCTTGCCAACAAATCAACTCCCGCAATAGCAATCGGGTTCCTTATTGTTTTCTTAACTTCCATAACGGTATTTTTGTTTCGGCTATAAAATTGAGGAAGGAATCGAATTTTTATTTTAATAACACGCACAATGGTAATTTAATCTCCTCAGTTATTATATATATATTTTTTAACAGCGATAGTATTTAAAATATTAATATATACGTAAAATAGTTATCATACTTTTCGTATTTTTTTTTTTTTTTTGTGATGACTGATTTATATCCTGTTATACAACAAGTATAGTTTTTTTTTTGTTTGAGGATTCTTATTTTAGTAAAAAGTTATTTTTTCTTTTGGCCAAATATAAATATATAGATAGATAGCTATTAATAGTGTGAATAACGTGTCTCACATTACTTATGCAACTCGTTAGGCAGTATCACGGGCACCTATTAGACAATTAATAAAAAAATAATCTGTACGCGGTACGTACGTACATATTTGCTAGAAAAAAACCTGTAAAAATGTTTAGAATTATTAGCGATATTGCATTAGGGCGTTCTAAACCTATTGGTTTAAGGTGTGACTAAGATGTTACTCAAATTAAACGATTTATGGTGCAAGTATTACGTAGAAGCCAGTATACACTAAAAAAGGCGTGCATTTATACATGAATTATTATTTTTTTACTTAATTAATACCATAAGATTTTCGCGCTCGTATTTTGTGTTATCTATTTTTCCGAGAAATTGGTCCTATATTTCATTTAATACACTGTAATATTTATAAGTACAACAGCATGTAGTTGACAAATTAGAAAAAGAATCGAATCAACACTATGTATAAATTCTGTGCTACTATCTATAGAAGGGAATAAAGATGTCACGAATTTGAAAGCACTTGATATATATACATATTATAAAAATAGTCTTTGTTCTAAACACTGCTTGAAATGCGTAGTTAAGAATTTAACCTCCTGTAATTTTTTATTTTCATTTTCATTTAGCACATTAAGTTTATTTTGTGCTTTAAGTTTGCAATTATAATTCTTATATATATATATATATTATTGGTGCTCTTGTGAATTTTCTTGAACCATTTATCCACATCAATTTAATTCTTTATAATTATAGATTAGTAAATTACTTCAATTCAACTTATCGCCTTTTAAACTAGGTTATCAAGAGCCATAAAAATTATTTTTTTTTATATATAAAATGCAGAAATATGTTGCTGACAGACATTGCATAATTTGGCGTAGGAGTAGCGCTACGCTTCGGACAATAAAGGTTTTTGGTTTAAAATTATTTGGTTTAGTATTTATAACTATACACAAATGCTATCTCGTTTCTGATTAATACTAATCGAAGTCTTTAATACGAAATCTCGAAATCTCGATGACTTTAAACCTCAAAATATAATCTTGTCCCACAAAATTCTGACAAATCAAAAATCCTAACGCATATACTTATATTATGAATCAAAAAAAAGCAAAAAATATAAAAAATAAAGAGGAAATTACATATAAGGGTCCTAAATGAAAATAATTATATATAAGGATCCAAAATTTGAAAAATATTACAATCAAAGGTCCGAATTTACGATTATAAGTTTTTAATATTAAATATAAATTTCTTTTGAACCTTGCATAAAAAATAATTTAAGTGATAGTTGAAGGGTATAAATTTCATAGAAAAAATCGGCGGAGATTTACTATTACTTTCATATAATGTTGGAATGTCGAAAGTTTTTGGCAATATGTAAAAGTCATCGTTATAAAGAATAAAATACCAATAACTCGCAGTCTACAAACCAATTTGAATAATTATTTACCAATCGAAGCGGGGCCAAACTTATTGCATGAAACGCAAAACTTAAAGTATTATATAATTTCGGCAGAATTTAAAGGAGATGGTCACACTTTTGGACAAAATGGATAAAACTGCACAATATGATGGACCCAAAACTCCTAATTCTAACTTCAAAGTTCAAACCGGTATATTTAAAACGCCGTAAGCGAAAAAAAATAATTCATATTGTAGCTTTGTAATTTACTTTTGCATAAATAAACAATGCCTATCAGAATAAATATTTTAAAAATTGTCGCAATGAAAGTGGATATGAAAGATTGAATGCCATTATGTTAATTAACCCTGGTTGCTGATTCCGCATTCACAATAGCATAAAATAAAAAATGGTGGTCACCGACCCCTTCTTTATTAAATAAAAAATTATTGCCGGAACAACATTATGCAAATAAAAAATATATATTTTACGATAAAAAAAAACAAAATATATTCACTTTTTTGTCTAGCATTTTTGAAGCTTAATATTACTAACAATGAACTGTCATTAGATTTTGCTCTCAAAGTTACAGTATCGATTGTCTTTTTTCCATTTTATATTTCTTCACGCTTTCCTAAATTAACTTCTCCGTTAAATGACCTCTCATCTTCTATATTGGTGACATAATTCGGTTTGCTTGGTCCATATGAGGTTTTTCCCAAAAAAAGTTCATATCTAAACCTTTTGTTATCAATAATTTAGTGGCTGGGAAATAACAATAGAAATCATCTTTTTTTTTTGTAGACCTCTTTCATGTACAGTATAATTCCTTCCCAAAATGGGTTGACCTTTTTTCTCTATTTACGAAGATTATTTTAGAAAATTAATTAATAGAATATAATCAAAATTATTTGTTATAAATAAATACTATAATTTTCAGAATTTGCTTAAGTGTCTAATAAATTTGCCGAGGATATAAACTTGAAAAGGAGGTGAGTTGTTTGTCTATTAAACGCTACTACACCTCAGTGAAGAAATATTTAAAGACAACAAAGCCACTCCAATTCGAAAAAAAGTTCTATAACCTATTAAACGCTACTACACCTCAGTGAAGAAATATTTAAAGGTTTGTAAATTGATTTCTTTTAACCCAATCTATTAATTGCTACTACACCTCAGCGAAGGTTCAACAAAAGCAATTTCAAAAAGTCTAAGAAGCTTTTGTCTAACCAGTTAAACACTACTACACCGCAGTGAAGAAATGTTTAAAGGCCCAACAAAATCACAGACTTTTGCAGTTTCATCATAGATATAATAAATACTAGGTGTATAAATATATTATCCATACCGTATTGTCCATTATACTTGTATTCGTATAAATCGAATAAAACTCGTGCAATATAAAAAATTTGTCGGGTGAGCTTGTTTTTTTTCTTTCAAGGTTATTTATAATTTTTTTTATTAAAACTTTTCATCTCCGAAAGTTGTTTTGGTGTTACACGTCATGAGATGATTAACCAAATTTAGGTTAGGGTGCTTATTTCAGAAAAAGCCCACGCAAATAAGTTATTGTTTGGAGCCTTACATGTTATGCACGTTGAAACCAAAATTACGTTCTTGATATATTTTGACTAAAAATATCAATAACATAACGCCATGTACCTAAATTTGCATAAAAACAAATTTTACGTGTTCGTCTGATAGGTTCCGGACAGTAACAGTCACATGATTTGTCTATGATTCAATTTTTCTTAGTATCGCCGTCAAAATTTTCACTTTTACGTGACAGAGTTTAAAAATCTTTAAATTCGTTTAAGCTAGAATTAGCGTTTATAATAGAGCTATTTTTTAGGAAAATAATAGTAAAATCACCCGATGAATTTTTTTTGTTAGAGCGCAAAGTGTGGTTTCTTATGCAAGTTTTTGAGAAATAAATGATTTTTGAAAAGTGAACGTTTTGTTTTGACCTTCCTGATTGTGTAACGTTACATTAAAACGAAACTCGCTATTGGATGATCATTACGTGAAAGTTAAAATCTGACGGGGTAGTTCGCAGATCAGGAGGGTAAATTTTGTATTATAGTCATATTTTAGTCAAATAATATATCTAAAATTTCATATGTAAATTTGTGTCAAATAAGTTTCACAGTTTTTGTTTAGTGGTAAGAAGTTGTTATTTTAATTTTGTGCAAGGATTTTGTCTATTATAGCATTTAAAGATTCTTTAAAATTTTAACAGTGATTAATGGCTATCCGTTTGCTATTTATACTAAATTTAGTATAGTACAAAAAAAATTTTTTTGATCCAACAACTTAATTAATTTTATTCATACTTTATACAAATATAATTTAATATTAACTTAATATATAAACAAAATTTTAAATAATATTTATAAATAAGATTTTGAGATAGTATAATTTTAATTATACTTTATTATTCTAAAATATCGCTATACTAAATTTAGTACAGTAGATTTTTATAAATATTTCATTAAATATATAAAATTAAAAATTAAAAAATGTAGAATAAATTGCTCATAATATATTCTTTATTTTCACATATTTATATGTTTAATATATATATAATTACTAAAACAAGTTTTATATATCTCTTTTAAAGTGCTACAAACACAATAATATCTTGTTCATATACTACAAGAATTGTAATAAAGCTGTGAACAAATTATACTACCTGTTTTATTTTTTCACTTTGAAATAGCATATAGCTGGTATTGTAAGTTTGTTTGTAATTCTGTTCTTATTCCTAATAATGAATTTTCAGTTATAAAATAATGTTTATAAATTATCTTATATGGTAATTATTATTTAAAATCAAAATATGAGATATTTTGTACATGTTCATTATATTTTTTAAAAGTAAAAAATATATTTGCTTCTGTAATACTAAGCAAAAAAGCAATATATGTATTTGCTAATTTGTTTTTTGTATAATATCATGAAATAAAGACATTATATTATAAATCTAATAATAATTAATAAGTTTGAAATAAATATATCAAATAATATAAAAAATTATTAACATACATAATTATTAATATCAATGGTTTTCTTTAATTAAGAATATTCACAAAAATTTTTGGTCTTGTAAATTAAGTAATTGATAAATTATTATTATTATTTTTTATTATATATTCTATTTTATCTTTATTTATTATAGTTGATGCTATTACTATAATACATTATAGTTTCTAATCTTGTCAAGATATTACAATCAAATATATATTATTAATAGTTGCAACTTTTGAAATATAAGATCTGTATGAAATTTCTAGTTCTTAAATTATATCATTAGGGTAATTTAAAGATCATGCATATTTTTTAATATGAAATATATCATATAACCTATTTTTCATTAATAAGATACAAAGCTTTAGTGAACCAAACCAACTGTCTCTAACAATTGTTTGCCTACTTTCAAATTATAACATGTTAATCTTAATACATATGCAGTTGTACTATCATAATCTACTACAAATTGTTTTTTTTTTTAATTTTTTTGTCTTTATAAGGTTCTAAATAGATTATAATATTTGTAAAACTATTAGCAAAAACTTTCTACTCTTGACCTATAGGATGTAGTTTTCTTGGTATTTTGTGATAACCTGAAATTTTATTTTTTTTGCCTAATCATATATTTATTGACTTATCAATATATAAACTTTTTCTTAGCTTTATGACTTCAACAAAATTAATATTAAAGGCATTAATAAAGCTGCAAACAGAATGAAGTAGATTACTAATATTTGGGACATTTAATTCATTAGGTATTATTAAAGTATAGTATGATAATATTTGCTCAAATTGTGAGCAACTTATTCAATGATAAAAAGCAAATAGTTTAATAAGTTGTGTTTGTTTTTTTGTTATTTTTTAGTAAAAATAGAGATCACTTACAAAGAAAATAGAAATTAGCACTCACAAATCTAACTACAATATATATTCATTAAAGTCTAAGTTTATTCAACCTAAATTTTTTCTTTTATAAATATTAATAAAAAGAATAATGTATTGCTCAATATAGCTTAAAGAAAAAATATTAATAAAATAATATATAAGGTGAAGTATAATTAATTAAGAAAATATTAATTTTATATATATTAGTATATATTAAATTAATTTTATGCTAATCAATAGTTACAGATTTTTTTTGTCAATTTACACTAGTAGGAACATTAATTTTATTAATTTCACTAGGATTATTATCTTCTGAACTATTTTTACTATTACTAAAAGACTTCTTAAGAAAGTCTATTATATTTGATTGTTTTAATTTATTAGAAATAGTTTTCTTATATTATAAATTATTAACAAAAACATCTGCAACTATATTTTCTTCAATTTCTTTTAATTTTATTTTAAACATTTGATGCTTTACTATAGTTAACTTACTAACAACACTTCTATAGAAATGTAGCTTTTTTAATTTATTTTCATAATATTTAAAGTATTCTGATATTATTTCTTTTAGTAATGTTATTGTTTTGCAACTAACTTATATACCAATTGATATTTTATTTGATACTTTCAGTATTATATAAGTATATACAGAAAAACCAAGTACTATAATAATAACTAATGCATTTAAAGTCTTTATTAATATTATATTCAAAGTAAAAAGCTTACTTTAATATATCTAATTAGGTTTTTTATATTTAATTTTAATTTTTTTATTTTTTTTAAAAAAAATTATCAAAAAACTCTTTTCACTGATCTTCATAACCAAAATTAGAACAGAAAGAAAATTATAAAAATCACAAAAACTAGCAAATAAAAGCACAGCTACCAACTAAACAAAGTTAAAACTAGAAAGAAATTAGATATAGTTTATTAAAATAGTAGACCAAATTGACAACAATATAGTAGTTAGTCTTGATTTTTAGAAAAAATTTTTGCTTTTTAACATAAATTTTTAGTCGAAAAAAAGAAAACACAAAAACTCTGTATTGCAGATCACACATATGACATGTAAAGCAAGTTAGAGTAAACAGTAAACACAACAAAATAAATAAACAGATATGCAATCTTATAGATAAACAAATAAACATAAATATTTATAGTAAGACATGTGTTGAATATATACAGATAAGATATAGAAATAATGCAAAGAAGTGTAACACAAAAAGTTTAATCAGTATCTACAGAGATCAACTGGTATAAGAAATTAGAAAAGTATCATGATATGTTTAACAAATCTGACAAAGTACAGAAAGAATTATTAGATATAGATAATCTCATCACTTCTGATACATCAAATATGTCTAATACAAGTTGATAAAATATATAACTAATATCCCAATTAATTAATATTAAAAAAAAGCAATACTTTTCAGAAAAAATATATTTTAATATAAGGTCACAAAAATGTATATATCACAAACTAGCTATATGTACTATATTACTGATTTACAGAATTTCAAAGAGCGATTGTACATATTCAAACCAAAACTTTCCTATATATAAAAAAAAATTTTTTATTATGCGAACTGTACTTTTCTTACTAATAAAAATTATTCCCAGTAATGTTTACGTATGTGCTAGAATTTTCAAGAAATTTAAAAAACATTTTAATAATATGATTAGTAGCTCAAAAATCTTTAAAATAAATAATTTAATTTTTTTAATAAAATATTCAAAATTCAAAATAAATAAAACAACATTAATAAACCTCATCTAAGCTCTTAGACAAAATTGTTCTCCATAGTCGAAAATATAAGATATTAAAATTTTATATCGATATGTAAAACTTTTCCTCATAGAATTTCTAAATTAGTAAACAAATTAAAAAAAAATAAATGCAAGAAATTTATTTAAAATTTACAACTATGATTCGTCTAAATAAATTTTCAAATTAATAAGAAATATTTTTATCTATCGCTATGAAAACTTTGTACTAAATAATTTCGACCATGAAGAACAAGTTTACTTAATGCCTTATGTGCAGTTAACAATAGGGATTTTTCGATATTTAACGTTAAACTTTTTTTTATTTTTTTTTAAAACCCCGTAAAATTTCTTTAACTCTAATTCAAAATGTAGAACACATTAGTAAAATATTCCTTAATTCACTTTAAAATTTTATTATAGGCGCAAAAGACCACAACAAACATTTTTACTTAATGCATAAATAATGATTTACATAACAAAAAAAAAACTTTATTATGTATCAAATTCATCGCACGGGGTATGCACAATAGATCATCAATTTAAAGAGGTATTTCATTTACGCTTCCTCATTAAGACTTTCGTCTTCTGAATACAAGTCTACATCTTCATCTTCACTTTCGTCATTTATTCCATCATCGACCATTTCTCAATATTTTCTCGCCTTACCTAAACATTTTCTCCAGCATGAAACAACCATATCTGGTGTTATTTCTTCCTGAAAGGAACTAAGTAACGCATTCCAAAGAGAAAGAATATCTGGCTGCTTTTGCCCCTCTGTGATTTTATTTTTTACAACTCCCTACACTAGCTCAATCGGCTGCAACTCACAATGATATGGAGGTGTAAAAAGAAGTTGATGACCAAACTTATTTGCAATAGTGACAGTAGTGAAAGGGATAGATTTTTTTTCTTTTTTCGTTAATTTATATAGTTTCGCTTTTGTCATACTAGAGTCAAAATCGATATTGCGAGATTCTAGCCACTCCTTTATAATGGGTTTATTCCAATTAGAAGTTGGTGCGGCTTCAGAGCGATGTTTGTGGTACTTTGCCTCATCCATATGAATAATACATGGTCTATAATCATTGCTAAGATTTTCACAAAGGTTTTCAAAAATTCTTTCAAATACTTCTGCATTAAAATTCCCATGATAATCCACCTTATCTGAAACAATACCAGCCACTTTTACTGCATCCGGAACTGTCTCTCATGCTTTTGCATTCTTTTTCTTTCTTCCTTTCCCAGTAGGTTGCTTTGTAGTAGAATCCCAAATAAGAAGAGATTTACAAACGAACTCTCCTTCCATTTTATTACTGGTTCCATGATGAAAAATGATGATGGCTCCAAATATAACCAACATACGACCCCTTCCCTTTTCATACACCACACCATCCTTTAGAACTCAGAACAAATTGCGATTATGGTGCATATGGTAATATGATTCATCAAGAAAAACTTCTGAAAGAGTTGGTACATCGTTTTGTCCCTGAATATTTTCAAATCGCCAACGGAGATATCGTGCCTGATACAAAATATTTTGAGGAGCCTCATGGAGAATATTTTGTCGTTCTCTCTTTTTATAATAATAACCAAGTTCTTTCAAGTGATATGCAAGTTGTGCTTTGGAAATTACAAAGCCTAATTTAGATAATTCAAGGATTATTTCTCGAAGAGAAAGAGGAAGACTGTCTCTATTTGCAGAGAGAATTAAATCATGAATTGCATTCATGTATTCTGCTTGAAAATCTTTGGGAGCTCGGTGACCTTGTTCTGATGCTGTAACCTTTCCAGTTTTATTGAATTTAGCAACAACATGGGCAATAGTTGTTTCACCTACTCCTGTTGCTATAGAAATTTCTTTACGAAGGTTAGTGGTTTTCTTTGATTGTCTGTCAGTCATTTTTATTTTTTCGTTAATATAGTTATGAACGGATAATATCATCTTCTTTTCATTAACAGTTAGGGCGATTTGAGTATGTTCAATTTGAGTATGTTCGATTTGGTCCATAATTAATTGATCAATTGCAATGATATAAATGTAGGATTAGAAATTTTACAGAATTTATAATGTATTCATGATGTATATATATAATTATGCATTATGCGATTATTGCAGCTTGCATTCATCCTTTTAGATTGTACTATTTGTCTAAATTTTGTTAAAGAAAGTTGTATGTTAAAAAAAAAAAAATAAATAAATAAAATAAAAAAAATAAAAAATAAAAATAAAAAAAAGAATAACCTTTCGACCTTTAACTACCAACCTTTAACTATCAACACAGTTGGAATCTATATTTTGTAGTTTGGGGTATAAATTTGATTATATATACCTAGGTTCTATGCATAGTATATTTTTAATAACTGCGCCCTACATATTATCCAAGGTAAATTAGTAAAAATAAGTAAAAAAAAATAATGACTTTGTTTTATAAAACAAATATGCATTTATTTATTTTTTATACTATTTTTTTATTTCAGCTTATAAAATATATTAATAAATATGCCCTTCTACTTAAATATTCTAGGTATAAATTTAAAATATTGTAAATATAATAGTTACTTCTTATAACAATTTAATATCATATGAGTAAATAAATTAAAATGTGATCAAAACGGATTTTAGTATTATGAAAACTTTTCATAGTGTCCTAAATAAAGTTATTCACATGGTTTTTGTCATTCTAACAAGGGTAAGATAATTAAATTTGGCCTGGTGGATCGTCCGCAATGGCGCTTTAAACTCTAAATAAAATTAATTATATAATTACTAAACTTTGCAGATCGTTTAGATTTTTTAATAAACATTGTATAAAAATCGGACCATCTTTGAGGAGCCATTGTGAACTATCCACCAGGTCAATTTTAACTATCTCACCATCTTTAGAACTGCAAAATCTGGAAGAAAAACTTTTATTAAAACGCTTTAAGAGGTTTAATTAATAAAAAACCATCTTTTGAACTGATTTTGTGTTTTCTTAATCATGTAATTATCGATTTTGACTTTATAAACTTTAGATTTTCTGTTTGTACGAGTCCACCAGAATAATTAGGTACTAAAAAAAATCAAATTTAAACTGCTTACATAATAGCTCCTATCTCCATATTACTAAAAATACTTGATTTTGTCAAAACAATTATATTGTATTGCTGTAGTCTTTGATAAAGTAATTGTTATTAATATGATTTTTGAAAATTAAAGAAATTATTGATTGAATAAAGAAATTATCTTTATCAATCAACAGCATGGAACATATATAGATCTGGTACAGGAGATCTGGTCCTGCGAACTTATTGAGGACTTGAAAAGTTGGTAGAAGATAGTTCGTGCAAGAAGGGCCAGTGAACTAGACAATCAAAGAAAAAAAGAAATCGAAGAAAACATAGAAAAAAGATGCCAAATG